AGGGGGTCAGGCTAGATGATCTGTTCAGGTCCCTCCTGACCCTAGCTACTATGGAACTACTATGAAACTATAAGGGATTTTTACCTGTTTCAGGTACTTAAAAATGTCCCCAGCTGCTGCTCTCACAGTGTGATCCAAAAGGGGGCTATCATCATGCCACTACACCTCCTTTGAATCCTCTGCTGTGTCCCAGTTTTTTAAAATTGTGTGAAGGTCTCCTACATTCCTTCCCCCACTTTAAAACTTCCTTTCCCTCTTTTGCTCTTTGATAGTCACTTTTTTGCAGATGTTGGTTAAATACATGTCACAGTCCAAATTAAAAAGGAGATTGAAAAGGAGGATGAACAGAAGCCAGTGAACATTCTGGTCTTCTTTTTAGATCAGGTAGAGGCAGATGGAAAGTTAAAAGGATACTAAAGTGAAACTGAATCTGAAATCAAACTCTAAAGCAAAACAGTAACTTATATAAGAGGCAAAAGCAGAGAACATATCACAATACCAGGAAATATATGTCCATACCTGCTGTCTGTTTTTGGGGGCAAAGGGCTACTTTCACAAAAGGACCTAAATGTTGCCTAACTCTCCCTGTAAGCACCTACATACAAAATTAGATCCTAAAAAGCTCCACCTTGCTACCACTTACTTCTGAAGTTCAGTAAGGTCAAGAAAGACAAGTGCAAATTCCCGGACTTAGGACGAAACAATACCATGCAACGGTACAGGCTGGGGATTAACTGGCTAAGCAGCAGCTCTGTAGAAAAGGATGTGGGAGTTACAGTGGACAAAAAGCAGAATATGAGTCAACAATGTGCCCTTGTTGCAAAGAAGGCTAATGGCATACTGGGCTATATTAGTAGAATTATTGGCAGCAGATTGAGGGAAGTGATTATTCCATTCAGTTCAGAATTGGTGAGGCCACATCTGGAGTACTGTGTCCAGTTTTGTGCCTCCCACTGTAGACAGGATGTGGACAAATTTGAGAGTCCAGTGAAGGGTAACAAAAATGGTAATAATACACATAAAATTTATCTTTGCCAAACTTGGCATACTAGTTGTAATCAGGTCTGACAATCCACGATCCACTGGCTGGAAAACTGGCTCCGGGGTCAGACCCAGAGGGTAGTAATTGATGGAAGTCACTCATCGTGGTGTCCTGTGACCAGTGGGGTCCCCCAAGGCTCTGTCCTTGGACCCATACTGTTCAACATCTTCATTAATGATGTGGACACTGGAGTCAGAAGTGGACTGGCCAAGTTTGCTGATGACACCAAACTTTGGGGCAAAGCATCCACACCAGAAGACAGGCGGGTGATCCAGGCTGACCTGGACAGGCTCAGCAAGTGGGCGGACGAGAATCTGATGGTGTTCAACGCCGATAAATGCAAGGTTCTCCACCTTGGGAAGAAAAACCCGCAGCATCCTTATAGGCTCGGCAGTGCTATGTTGGCCAACACTATGCAAGAAAGAGACTTGGGGGTCATCATTGACCACAAGATGAACATGAGCCTGCAGTGCGATGCTGCGGCTAGTAAAGCGACCAAAACGCTGGCTTGTATCCATAGATGCTTCTCAAGCAAATCCCGGGACGTCATTCTCCCCCTGTACTCGGCCTTAGTGAGGCCGTAGCTGGAGTACTGCGTCCAGTTTTGGGCTCCACAATTCAAAAAGGATGTGGAGAAGCTTGAGAGAGTCCAGAGAAGAGCCACACGCATGATCAGAGGTCAGGGAAGCAGACCCTACGATGACAGGCTGAGAGCCCTGGGGCTCTTTAGCCTGGAAAAGCGCAGGCTCAGGGGTGATCTGATGGCCACCTATAAGTTTATCAGGGGTGACCACCAGTATCTGGGGGAACGTTTGTTCACCAGAGCGCCCCAAGGGATGACGACTAGGTCGAATGGTCATAAACTACTACAAGACCGTTTCAGGCTGGACATAAGGAAGAATTTCTTTACTGTCTGAGCCCCCAAGGTCTGGAACAGCCTGCCACCGGAGGTGGTTCAAGCGCCCACATTGAACACCTTCAAGAGCAAACTGGATGCTCATCTTGCTGGGATCCTATGAACCCGGCTGACTTCCTGCCCTTTGGGCAGGGGGCTGGACTCGATGATCTTCTGAGGTCCCTTCCAGCCCTAATGTCTATGAAATGTATGACAATGGACCACAGTTTGAGAGGTATGAGTTCAAGCTTGTTGCAAATAAATATGGATTTACACACACTACCCCTAGCCCAAGATATCCACAGTCTGATGGACTTGTAGATAGGGCTGTGTGAAG